CGCAAAGGCTCAGTGGGAACAGGAGAAGGCGAGGCAGGTAATGAACCGGGCTGAGTTGGATATGCGCGGGGTTCGCATAGCCATGGACACGTTCGGCGTTCGCGGCGTGTTCGTGTGTTTTCTGTTACTGAAAACAGATACGCGTGGTTTTGAATGGCGAGTTAGGCGTGGCGAGGCTATGTCGGCGTGTACCGGTGCGTAGCTAGGAGTTTGTCACTCAGAAAATGTGCCTCCGCGTGGCTTCGAGGTTTGTCGTTAAGTGATCGGCTGCTCAAATCTCTGCCTGCCTCGAACGCTGTTGTTTTCTTCTTCCTTTTCGATAGCTTCCTCCTGTTCTGTATCGATAGTTTTAGGGGTTGCCACCTCGTCCACCATCTTTAGTATTTTGGTATTAACTGATCTCACGCCTTCAGTGGCGGGTTTATTTTCTTACTTATAATTACTTATATAACTATTTATTAATTAAAAGAAAAATGAAAGATGATATTGGAATTTGGCCTTCAGTGGCGGGTAGCGTTGTGGATGGGGGCTAAAAAAACGAGAAGGAACGTGTGTGGGTTGCTTCTGGGGACGCGACTCTACTTATACCAGTATATACATTTTTGAGCTTATGATTTTTTAGAATTTTAGAATAAAAAAAAATTTTTAATTTTACATTTTTTGCTACATCTGCTATCTACATCTACAATGTATATTATACATCTGTTCAGGCCAGCAGCGCTGTTAACATAGCAGCGTTAACAGTCGGTTGACAGCGTTGCTAACAGCGGACTGTTAGCTCGCTCTCTCTCTCGTGCCCTTTGCTCTTGCGCTGCTCAGTCACGATCCACTCGACTCTCCAGCACTGGCGCTAGCATTATGCTGCCCAAAATACATAGTGGGAGTCTCTGTTCAACTACGAACCGATTACAAGCGCACATCAACCCCCAGCTGTATCAATTACCCGCAAATATACGCAAACATGTAATTGACGCCCCCGACTACTTTTATTTGGGAATACGGTCTTTGGGGACGTCCAACATCCACCCTCCTGCAATCATTGGTCCTTCGGGCCGGATCTTCGCCTTCCCTATAAGGAGGAGTCCAATCAGCAAGAATCTGTGGATTACATTCCGAAGATAAGTACGATTGCGTCTTCCCAAATCGATTCCTAGTGCGATTGGTCTTATTACCCGCGAAGTCCGAGTTCCGCGATACATGTATATTCTTATATACATATGTGTTCATCCATTGCTATCCAGTTTCTGTGTCGTGTTCCTTTTCGCCAACGCCATATTATCGGCGATTCCGGCTTTTCTCGCTACTTCGACTCCAACTACCAGTGCTACGGTAGTTCTCTAATTTGATTTGTCTGTGCATCCGATTTCTCCACTGTGAATTAACAAAATAAATCACCATAATCCAGCCCCACTAACTACAAGTGCATTCCGAGCATATGTACATACATTCCAGACCATAAGAGCGGCTTCCGTAACAAATAGACGAACATACCTACATACACCGGGACCGGGAAGAGCTAAGCCTAGACATTGTGAGGCCATTTATAGTCAATGACTTAATGGATATCCTACTTAGCTCGCAAAACAATTGGGATGCCGTGAGCACCTACGCTGCAGAGATCATCCAATCCTTGCGTCGCGCTGAAAGACGTCCTTCATGCCATCTCCCCCTCGCGAAGTAATACTTAACGGTCGTACCGCGAAAGGGATAAGGAGAGTAGGGGGGTTTTTAGTTGGTGAGGTAATTCCAAGTCCCACACTTATCGGCTTTCAATGCTTTTCCCCTCCTATACATACAAAAAAAAAAAAAAACCTACATACACATTCCAAATTACACGACCCACCCCAATAAAAATACAATTGGCATAGTACATTGGGTTGAGGTCTGTTCTTCTTATTTCCGCATCTGGTTAATAAATAACTTGTTTGATCGAGGAGCGTTTTCCTCGATATAGTTGTTCAAGGATGGGGGTGTGTCAATCTCCAGTGAGCTAATTATACTCGTTGCGAAGAAAATTGCTGTAGTCCAAGAATACTGCGAAAATCGAGGGGGTTCAGTTGAGTACTAGCCAATAACTATTTATTCGGTTTCTAAGTGCATGAGCACTGAGCATAAGCGGGCTTCTAATGTGGTGAATTCAATTACAAATTTAATGCAAGAGCGTAACAAAGAGAGTAAGAATGAGCGTAAAATACTACAATGAGCACTGAGCATAAGCGGGCTTCTAATGTGGTGAATTCAATTAAAAATTGAATGCAAGAGCGTAACAAAGAGAGTAAGAATGAGCGTAAGATACTACAATGCGAGTCATTTAAGTGATTATTATATTATATTATATTGTGACATTAAGAGCTTGACCGAACATAACTAACGTATAATCCCAAGTGGTCCTAGCATTTAACATCTACGTAAAATTATATTGCACATTAAAATAATATAATTATTGTATTAAAACAACATCCATACATACAAACATCTACATACCACTCACGATCTCTACCCTGCAGTACCAGAAGTGAGCGATGACAAATGTCAACTACGCGTCATTCAGGATTTTTTCTCTGCCGCTGCAACAGACGAGTAGAATATGACGTCGACGTCGCGATCGACGCGTCGGTCAGACCAAACTCTTTTTTTTTCTTTGTTTCTTTCTGTTACGACTCGTGCCGTAACAGAATTCGGTTTTGCCGTCGGCGTCGACAACGTTGTTATAATTGTAAGTGCAGTGTTTCATTTAATTAAAAATAGTCTATTGTGCGTTGTAAAAAATGAAAAAATTTAATATTGCGAAATTATATGCGTTTTGGACGAAATTTTTAATTTCCAACAACGAAAACAGAAAAAAAACCACCCGAGTGGTTCTTGCGAGTCTTGAGTCGAACAGGTACATATCTTGGCGAGTGTTTTGTTTTTGGCGCAAATGCACTGCTGATCTACTGAGAGCATTGTTAACAAATTGAAAAATATTTTAATTAACCCATCTTATTTTAAAGGCGATTCAGTTGAATGACCACGACGACCTTACGAACATGAGCAAATCAAAAAAAACTAAAAAGGTTCTGTGGAAAAAAGAACACACAGCACAAAAATGTGAATATGTATACATTTTTATAAGAAAACAATAAATAAAAGAAATTTAATATTTTAAAACAGAATTTACCCATGCCTTTTTCATCAAAATATCAAAATTTTTTACTTAAATACATCACTTATTAAGGCCTTACTTTTCTAGGGAAATTCATCGCTTATTAAGGCCTTACTTTTCAAGGGAAATTCATCGCTTATTAAGGCCTGACTTTCGGCTAATTCTCGCTTACTATGTCATCGATTATGCTCCTAGGACATCCCTGTGTTAAAGTAAACAGCCCATCGTATGGCAGGTCATCGCTTATGTCATCGAGCTGCATGACGTTGCCATCGATGTGTGGTTGCTTACACATCGCTTACCCGTACTGCAGGGTACATACTGCCTTCCACACATACATTCCGCTCATAACTACATACATTCAATATTAAAAATCTGCGATTCCGAGCAATATACGCATTCCAGCCATACGTCTCAGTCGCCACACTAAAGAACATTATCTCCAAATACGCAATAAATTATACTCAACCCAGGCACAGCGCATTTCCGCAGCTAGTTCGCATTTTCCCGTAAAATCTTCAAATTGTGTTTCTGTGGGACTAAGAGAAACTAGAGGTGACAAAACTAAAAAAGTATCGGTATCACCGACTAAGCTGTCACGAAACCCAATACAAGATATAAAAGTGCCCGAACACTTAAAATTACTCATCGAACACCAAATACAAGACAATAAATAAATACAAGCCGCGAACTGTCCAAAAGTACAAAGTCCTACGTCTGTTCCGCATCGATGTAAAAACGACTGTAGAAGGAATCATTGTTTTTGTTTCATACTCGCTCCGATAGTCTCCACCACACCAGTAGCAGTTAATTTCTTGGCTCGTGCATCCTATCGGCTCTACTATCTCCACGGCATAATAAAGGAGCAATAAATAGAAAAATTCCGTCTGCAATCCATCCGCACTAGATAAGAAAGAAAATTTACCCACTGCACAAGTCCGTCAAAAGGTAAACGGAGGAGCGCCGCACTAACAATATTATTTAAATATTGCCACAGCCAGTGTGAACGTTCCTCTCCTCGGCGTGTATCAATTTGATCCACTCATTGTTTGGGAAACTCGATCCAGAGCGACCACAAATAATCCGAGTCGGTAATAAAAATTGTTGTCCAGCAACGCGCGAGGCCTTTTTATTTTTCCATTCGTCCAGTAGTAGGTTTTGTGTTTTTTTTTTGTATTTTGTCTTTCCATTTTGTTCCGTTCGAATAAAAAGATTTATTGTCCGTTTTCGTGTGTGGTGCTCAGCCCAGCCTAAGTTATTTTTCTTTCGCGAATTCCCCATCCGATTATGCCAACAGGACACAAGGACATCAAAAAGCCTTTGCCTGTGACTTCGCCAAGTCGGCGACGCATCTCTTCCGCCTCCGGAACTACGCCGACGCGAAACATCAAGTCGCCACCCCCTCCAAGACCAGCCAGTAGTAGCCCAGCTGCAAGGACCCAATCGTTTATATTCCCATCTCCCGTCACCCTCCAGGTGCCAGCTCGGATCCACGACGATCCAGCCAGCGCTCGCGTTACCAGTCCCGTCAGCTTTAGACCCTCCATGACAATGGCTCAATCCGCCACCACTACTGCACGAGCAAGACTAGTCGCCGCCATTGGCCGTCTGTCTCACCTAGAAGCGCGCATAACTGCCACTCCATCCGCCTCACTTTCCGAGGTCCGCGAAGGCCAAATCCAGAGCATGTGGGCGGAGGTCGAGGCGGAGTATAAGGCTGGCTCCGCAGCGATGGTTGACGATTCTAGGCCAAACAGCAGTCCATCCGTCTGCACCGCAAACCTACCAGGGCGGCTGTCGACTGCCGCCTTGCGACTACGTCTGCTAGCCTACTTTCCGGGACTTATTTAATGCAATGTACATCAATAATTCTAGGCTGTCTCTGGTAGAGAAGTTATACCATCTCACCGCTAAGACAAGTGGCGATCCTAAGTCCATAGTCGAGAAGTCCCCGCTCACTAAATCTGGTTTCGAATCGGCATGGGCGGCCCTCCGAAACCGTTACGAAAATAATCGGCTCCTGGTGACCAACCAGATTAACATTCTCCTCTTTCTGCCTGGCATCGAGTCCGAGACCAGTCGGGCTCTGAAAGAGCTCCAAAGCACTATGCAAGCGGTCCTAACCGCCCTTGCCCTTGCTCACTCCAAGGTCTGCACCGACAATTGGGATAGTCTCCTCGTGACTATCTGTGCCTCCAAATTGCCTAAATCTACCCGGGCTTTTTGGGAAGCGTCAGTCACTGACAAGAAGGAGGTGCCTCCATGGACCGAAATCGACTCCTTCCTAACTAAGCGGTACTTGACCCTAGAGGCCATGGAGAGCGACCCATCCATTTCCAAAGGCGATCTGAATCCACCACCGTTCAAAGGTAATCAGAATCCGCAACCCACCAGAAGCCAGTGCAATCCGTTCCGTTCCCAAGGAAATCCTGTTCCAAAAACGTCTCACTCGTTCCATAACGACATTAATCCAAGCAAGAACACATGTGATCTCTGTTCCAAAGATAATCACCCTATCCGACTATGTCCTCACTTCCTGCACATGACCGTTGAGTCTCGTTCCAGCTGCATTAAGCAAAAGAAGCTTTGTTTAAACTGCTTCGCAAAAGGCCATCAACTTCGAGAATGCCAAAGCACCCACAATTGCATCACTTGTGGGGGCCAGCACCACACGCTTCTCCATCGTATCAATTCAGTTTCCAGAGAGTCCAATTCCACATCCGTACTCAATTCCACAGCTTGGCCCCAGACGTAAGCCGGCAAGTACCTGCCGCACAAAATTCAAGTTCTTCCGAACCTGCGACGAATGTTCAGACGTATTTCGCTTCCGGCACAAGTTCTGACCTTTTAGGCACAGCAATCATTATTTGCCACCTTGGAACGAATTTCCGCGCCCGCGCCCTGATCGACTCGGGCTCCGAAGCAACGTATATTACGCAGGGACTGCAAATAATGATTATTTGTTTTTTATTATTACAAAAAATCATTCACTTAAAAACACTTTAAGACAGCGAGAAATATACCAATATTCATCTTAAATGATAATCTATGCATTTCCACCATGATTTGATCATTTTCAAGTTTTATTGACTCACTCAGAACATAATGATTAATTTTAAGTTATACTTTATAACTCAAAAAATAATCATTATTCTTTGAATTTTATTTTTTGCTCAAAAATAAAACTCAAGTTGTAATTTCGACTTTTCCTTAGGGAATAAATAAAAATATTATATTTATTCACACTCAGTAAGAAAAGACACAACATAGCAAACATTTTTTTTTTATAAAAAAATTCTTCAGGAAAAGTGTATTTTAAAACAAAATAATATTATTACGGAACGTCTTTTCAACACGATTCAATTGCCATTCCAATTTATCCAGACACAGGTCTCGAGCCTCAAGCAGACAGTATCCGCTCAATCCAAGAAGCTCTGTCAGTTTTCCATTCGCTCTCCGACTAAGCCGGGTTTACAATTAAACGCCGCAGCCTACGTTATTTCGGAACTGGCAAAGAATCTTCCGTTGCATCCGATCTCGCAAAGTATCTTGAAACACTTGCCAAGCCTTCTCTTAGCGGATCCGAAGTTTTTTGGAGAACTCACCAATCGATGTCCTGATTGGAGCCGATATTCTTCCATCCGTAATGTTAGGCGGCTTACAAAACAACATATGTGGCTCTCTCCTCGGGCAAGAAACCATTTTTGGTTGGGTGCTCACTGGTCCCGTGTCCAATAAGGCGAGACATCAAGTTGCATCCTTTTCTTGTCAAATTTCCAGAGTAGCTTCCAATGTCCCAAATTTGCACCTCATCCGTTCCAAGCTCACTTCTAATGCTTCTTCGACTTTTTCATTTCACCCTAGCCTTCCACATACAGACATGGCTACTCGATCCCGTTGCGATCGCATCGTGGAGAGCAGACTTTCCCGGGGTATTAAGTCCTACCAATGCCGAGTCTGATCTGAAATCCATCCTCTACGGAAATGACGCCGCTTTGTCCGCCTGGATTCCGAAAGGAGGTTCCAAGCTGTCCTCCACTTCAGCTACTGCACCAATTGTATGGCTCACCGACACTCCGGCCAGGATTGCCGAAGCGGTGATCGGTGTAAGGTGTGTAACCGGAGCCACCACACGTTACTCCACCTTCCCGAGTCTCGGCGCCCATCTGGCTCCTCTGCGGCACCGCCGCCTTCATCTTCAGCGTACAGCGCCGATGTGCGCCCGTCTCGTCTTCCTGCGAGCCGCCCCGGCATAGGAATCCCGGATCCATCAGCAACCTCCTTGCTTCCAAATCGGAGCATATAGAGTCTGTGCAATCCTGCAAGGGGGGGGGAGAATGTTCAGAGTGAGGACGGCGCTGGCGGAGCAACAGCTCTGTGGGCATTCGTTGCCTTCGCTCTCGCTCTCACGCTTATGAGCGTTTTTCCCCCGGTGAAGCGCTCTCGCGCGCTCAGACTCACCACGCTTACGCTTACGCTCCCGCCCACGCTCACGCACGGGCTCCAGCAGACGACAGCCGTCGGCAGCTGACTTCGACGGGAATATAATGCGCTTCTTCACCCCAAGCAAAACGGCTGGCTTTTGCACGCGATCTTCTAAACATTATATATAAGTGAATAAACCTACGAATATACACTGAAGAAATTGGAACCACCACGTCTTACTTTGGGAATTTTTAACTGTGGGACTTCCAGACGCCCCTACGCTTAAGCATTGGTCCTTCGAGCCGGATATACTTCGCCTTCCCCAACCATATCCAGCATTCGAGCACTGCATCGCCTTCACCACCAGGATCCTAAGATAAGTACGATTTTCGTGTGCCACAAATCCCTTCCATTCGCGATTTGTGTTCCCAATTTCCGAAAAGTCCGAGTTCCGCGATATAGGTACATATATATATTCTTATATATGTATTTATTTCTTCATTCTGTGCCATTCGTTATCCGTGTCACTTCTTTTTTCGACACCGCCATATTATCGGCGATTCCGGCCGTTCTCCCGTCATTCACCTCCAACTACCAGTGATACGGTAGTTTTTTCGATTCCTTGTGTCTGTCCATGATTTGCGGACAAATTAAATAAATAAAAATTAATTCAAAAAAAGTTTAGTTTAAGATTTTACAAATAAATGAACGGTTCGTTCACTTCTGCTCCGACACATGTCGTAAAACATTTATTAACTTGATTATATCGTTGAGCCTTAAGGGCCAGCGAAATAGAGGGCAGTCACCCTCTCAACGTAATCTCCATAAGAAGACCCAGTTGCCAAACGGCAACCACCGCCCCCAGCTACAAGAGCGGGACACGGGAATCCGATCGCTGCCGCCGGAGCCGCAGCTCGGACCAACACCAATTCAAGCCACCTCCCCCCGCTACCAGAGCGGGCCACCGGAAGCCGATCGCTGCCGCCGGAGCCTACGCACCGGACCGCAGCTAGGACTAACTTAGATTAAAGATAATTGGCGCCCAACGGGATTGGAAATATCCTAAGAGAATCCACGTCCCCAAAAGATAAAACCATGTAAGTGACTGTTCGCAAAAGATAATAGATTTTGAAAAAAGTAAAAGAGAGAAAGAAAAATAAAAAATTAAAAAGATTTTTTTTCCATATATAAAAAGAAAATAATATAAATATAATAAATATAAATATCTGACAGTGCAAGTGTGAACGTCACGCAATACAATACATTTTTATTTTGAAACCGAATGAGTGCATCTGTGTGGTTAAATAAATGATCGCCCGAGTTTGTTCATTTGATATCTTGCTGTGTGGTTTGATTTTTTCTCAGTAATTGCCCATGAATTGGAGTTATAGGGAACAAAAAGTACAGTCCGATAGTGACGAAAGCTTAGACCTAGGGTATCGCCCCCCACAGCCGAAACAAAATCGGTCAGAAATGGATGCAGGAATGATAAAAGCATTGGTAGACGGCGCGATCGCCAACGCCCTCGCCGAACAAGAACGGCGTTTAACACAGGATTTCAGCAGTGAAATCCAAAGAATGAGGAATCAAGTGAATGCCCTAACTATAGAAACCCCTCAAGTAGAAACCTTTAAAAGAGTGACCATCGACCCTAACATAAAGTGCGAAGTTAAGTTAGACATTGTGAAATCGGTGCCGACCTTTAGCGGAAACCATGAGGAATATGTGTCGTGGAGGCAATCTGCCGTAGATGCATACGAAGTCTTTAAAATTTATGTAGGTAGCCAGGCACACTACGAGGCTGTGGCCATTTTGAAAAACAAAATTTGCGGTACCGCGCGAGCGCTACTCACGTCCCACAATACCGTGTTAAATTTTGATGCAATTCTGGCCAGGCTAGATTGCACATACGCGGACAAAACGTCCCTACGCGTACTACGTCAGAATCTGGAAATGGTTCGACAAGGTGACGCCGACCTTATGGCATACTATGACGAAGTCGAGAGGAAACTCACGCTCGTCACGAACAAAATAGTCATGTCCCGTAATGCGGACACGGCAACCATCCTGAATAAGGAGGTTAGGGACGACGCCCTCCACGCATTTATTGCAGGGCTCAAACGGCCGCTCAAATCACTGGTGCTGCCAGCACAGCCAAAGACCTCCCATCCGCGCTAGCGATAGCGCGGGAAGCCGAAAATAGCATTGAAAGAAGTGCATTCGCGGCATCCTACGCAAAAGCGATAGAGGACAAATCTATTGTTTACGAGGGCAACAAACGCAACAATAAATTTCAAGGCAAGCAATGGAAAGGTGAGGATAAAAATCCACACTTCATTCCTAAGCAAGGCCAAGGCAAGCCGCAAGAGGACAACCTCTGGCCAAAGCGCGGGGATACCGAAATTATTGACCAGAATAAAGTGCAGCCTATGGAGGTAGACCCTTCATTATCCAAATTTAGGCAGGACACAAGCTGGGGAAAGCCTCAAAGTAATAACAATTACAAAAGGCCGAATTCGTCCCAGCGTCAATCGGGGCAGAGACGCCAACGGGTAAATAACATAGTGCAGCAGGCCTATAACCAGGAAGAACAAGAGTACTCGAATACAGCCGAGGCCGCAGTCGCCGAGATCGACGAAGAAAACGACCCGACCGGCAACGACTTGCTTAATTTTTTAGACAGCGCTCCCAATTGCCGTTCGTCGAGCGACAATTGGCGGGCAAAACACTAAAAATTCTAATCGACACCGGAGCGGCAAAAAATTACGTGAAGCCCATAAAGGAGCTAAAGAACGTAACTGCTGCTGACTCCCCCTTCACAGTGAGCTCAATACATGGCTCCAGTGAAGTAAGAAATAAGTGCATAATGTGCATTTTCGGGCTAAAAGCCCCATTTTTTTTGTTGAACACGCTAAATACGTTTGATGCCATTATAGGTTCCGATTCACTAACGCGAGCGGGAGCGGCATTAAACCTGCGCGACAAAACAATCAAATACGGAAACGTAACGGAACAGCTTCAGTTCCACGAATGCGACAGTGTAAATTTCACCCAAGTCGACGACCTAACGGTCCCAAATGCGGTAAAAGCCGAATTTAAGAAAATGATACTGAAGAGAATTAGAGTTTTTTCGACCTCTAGCGAGGCGCTTCCCTTTAACACCTCAGTTATCGCCACCATTCGAACCGAGAGTAATGAACCAGTCTACTCTAAATTGTATCCCTACCCCATGGGAGCAGCAGACTTCGTGAACAAAGAAGTCAAAGAACTACTGAAAGACGGAATAATCAGGCCATCTAGGTCACCGTATAACAGTCCGATTTGGGTCGT